TAGCACATAGAAAAGTTTCAAGTATGGAAAAGTATGCTTGTGAGTAAACCAATTTAATTACCTTTCTCCTGATGATAAGAGGGGTATCATCATCATCAACATCATCCTCCAGAATGGGAGATGCTGAGGCTGGCTGTTTGCGGTTTGGGGCACTTTTGGCTGCAGTAGGCTTGGCAGGGAGAGAAGAAGATGGACGAGCAGACTGTTTAGCGCGACGAGGAGGAGAAGGACTCCGGATGGACAAAGGAGTGACTAAAACAGGAGGAGGGGAAGAAATGCTCGGCTGGTCCAGTGAATGAAAGGCACGATTGACATCAGTCGCAAACAATCTGCGCTTAACTGACGGCCAGAGCTGTTCAAAAAGGGGATGGATGGCATGACTAGAATTGAAGGGGGCTAATGAAAAATAGCTTGTTAAAAGAAGATTGAGAGCATTTATAACCTCTGCCTCCGCCTTATTAATAATATGGAAGCGGTCAATAAAGTTCCTTGAATAGTAAGGAAGAACAGGCCAAGTTTGGCCGAAACCAAGTTGGCGAGCAAAAAATTGGGGAGCATATATTTCTATCCCTGCCTTGGCATTGGTCCCAGTCAAAATATCATGAAATAACTCCCACCCAGTTAAAAACTGGATCCAAATGAGCAGAGAGGTGCTCGCGCTGTCTATAGTGGAGGGAAGATGCACATAGTTTGGAGTCAAAAAGGGAGGAAAAGGAAAGAAGGAAGGGATTGAATCCAAAGAATAAAAGAATGAAAAAATGTCTTTTCTAGAAATATTTACAGAAGCCAAGGGCTCAATGGCTAGCCCATAGCAGCTAGCAGAAGAACGAGAAATTGATGGAGCACCAAGCAATAGAAAATAGGATCTCAACCACATTTGAGTGAACCAAAGAGGTCCACTACTAGTGAGAGATGCACCATTCTTCAATTGAGTCTGAAGAGAAGCCATGCCTCTATAAAGAGCAGCCAAAAAGAAAGAACATAAATTCAAAGGCCTACCACGCGCCAATTCGTGCGCTATGGGTAAATAACTTAGGGAGGGCTTTATGCTTGGCACATACAAAACATATTTACAAAGCCAAACCAGAAGAAAGGTCACTCGCTCAGTATGGGAAGGCTCAGCGCTCGAATGGTTATGAAGGGTTTGCAGGCTTGAATAAGAGTCGGTAATGTTTCTACCAAACTTTGGGGCGCCACCAAAAACCAAGATACCAGAAAAAATGGTATCGCCCAAAGGTGGCAGATTCACTAGGGCCCCAACATCCCTTAAAGTAATAGACATGGGGCCAAGAGGAAAAATAAAGGTATTATACTCAGAAGACCAAAAACTTAAAGCGATCGAAAAAAGTGCTGAATCAAAAGTAGGGGGTTGAAGAGAGATTTCTAACAAATCAGAAATTCTAGCATTATCAAAAAGTGCCTTAATAGGACCATGGTCCACAAGGCGAGCATACCACCTACGGAAAACTATATCAAATTTAGGCCAAGTGCGAATACCTCTTTCGCGAAGTGGCCCTAGCGGCAGAGAGTTTAGAAATGGAGGGCCTTGAGTACAAGGAAACAGCTGGCCCACCGCCGCCTGTTCGACTGCCTCTGCATTGTTGAAGAAAGGACCTAGGTAGAACTCATTGAGTTCGACATTGGCAGGCGCGAGAAAGTTCATAGTTATGTATGGACGATTCAGAAGTTTCTGAAAGTCATCAAAACTAAAGGAGTCGCCAGATTGCGATTGTGAAGTAGCCATTAGGGATGAAACGAAGTTTTTTCAAAGTTACGTAGTAGGGAAGCAAAAAGATGAACAGTAAGTCGTGGGAGAGAAACGCGAAAAAGTGAGGCGTGATTTAATGGTGCAGTAAAATGGCGTGTTTGGAGGTTATAAGGGTTTGCAAAACGTCGCACCTTTTCAAGCTATGGAAGAAAACAATGATTGAAATTCTTGATAATTTCGAATGTTGCTGGAAACACAGTGATTATGGCAAAATTTAATAATTAGTATTAATTCTGCCATATTGGGGGGTAATTGTTGACACATAAAAATTCAGCCCAAATCGAACGGCCCAAGGAATGAAGCCCAATTGGAGGATCCCCAAATCAGATAGCCCAAAGAACGAAGCCCAATCAGACAATTCAAGATGAAGGCCTAAATAGGGAGGTCCAGGAACGCGGTAACACCATCGCCCAAGTTTGCAAGTCGCCCAGAATCTGAGCGAATGGAGTGTCATGCAGTCGCCCAGAGCTGTTACTCTATTCTCGCCCAAACCTTCGAGTCGCCCAAGGTCTTAGCAAACATGAAGTGTTATGGTTATCAAGAAGTGCAGTTATCAAAGCAGTTATTAAAGCAGCCCTATCACGTTCCACGATTCAAGGAACTTAATTGAAGACGGTTGAACGACAAAGAGTAATGGCAGCAGTTAGAAAAGATAGTTCCATAACAAGTTGGCCATTATGAGGAAAGTGAGCAGTTATAGAACGATCCAACAGTTTTTAGGCGGTTGATCACAAAGAGATCATCCAGGGAGTATAAAAGGAAGGAAGGACATAGAGCAAAGGGGACCGAATCAAAAACTCTGGAACAGAGAACATGTAATTTTAAATTTCTTAGCTTAGATTTAAACACTTCTTTCAGTAACTCGTGTGCTTGTGCCCGTTGGAGGCATTCTGTTTTTAATTCTCAATTGTAAAGTCACCGCCAATAAAGAACACCCATTTTTGGGATTTTGTCTCAAGAGGTTTGTCCCTAACACAATCGTCTGATCCCTTTTAATTGTTAGCGACTAACTCTCGCGAAACACTATTAAATTAAAGTCTACTAAAATCTACCTAAAAGAGTACATCCAACTTTTTCAAAATTCATAATTATCCAATTATTATTTTTAATTAAAGATGATTGGGGTGGTCATACAACTGGTTATAGTTTTCGCTATAAATAGGACCCAAAATCCATGAAAAATCACAAGTAAAAGCGGCAGAAAAAAAAACCACAAATGAAAGTCGGGAAAAGAGAATAAACTCTCTTACGCTTAAGGCGGAAAAATACCAAGAAGATCAAAGTCTTCTTCAAATCAAATAAAATTCAAGTTCAAGTCCCAAAGTGTAAATTCAATCCTTGAAGTCCAGTAAACACAAATTAAGTTTTCAACAAATCTTGAAGTCCAGAAATCAGATTATGTGGCCCCTCGTCTTCAAGCTCTTATATCATTAATCAGAGAATTTTAAAGTTCTATAGTCACAAGAATATCAACATCCACTTGTGTTTCTCAAAAATACAACTTGTAACAATTTCTATATTTTTGATACACGAAATTCTTCATACAAGGATATAACTATGGTTATTGATCGTGGGCCCAAAGTAACACTACAAGAAAATCATTATTTATGACGAAATTTTTCACCACCACAACTTTACTGTCACAAAAAGAATTATTTACAACGGTTATATAGATGTTACCAATAAAAGCATTTTGTTTCGAGATTATTAAACATTAACATTATAAAATATTTTTTATATGGAATTTGACTTTATCGAGGTGGAGAAAAGGCTTTTCAAAGTGAAAAGATTTATTAAGAAAAAATAATAGAATTATATGTTCCATCCATTATTTATATCTAATGCTTTCTCCCATAGACCCACTCTCGCCAAAACTCCCATAAAAAAGGTTTGGGTTTCTTCTGTTCTTAGTAAGCATCTCTAATTACTAATTTCCCACCCTTCCCGCTAAGTCAATTTGCTGATTTGAAGCAAAAGTTATAACGAGTCTTCCGCACTTCAAAGGTCACAGAAAAAGGATATGAAACGTTTTGCAATCAAGGCTACTACATGAACACGCCACTGGCAGCTTAATTCGTTTGCAACAGGTGCAAGGGTCACAAGATTTTGCACTAATAACTCTTATTTTTAATTACGACATTTTAGTCCTTCTTTCGTAAAGATTTTATTCTAAATTTTAATTCAAGTTTCAACAAATAATTTTAACTATATATTTTATAAAATTCACAATTTTTTAACCATACAAAGGGGCAGACCCAGACCTTTAGTATTGTGGGGTAAAAATTTTAAAAATAATTTTTTTAATAAATAAGATAGTATCAATGAAAATAAGTTTATATGTATTTTGATACTTTGAAAACGTCATATAATTACATCATTATTAATATTATTAAATAAATTTTGCGACTTGTATAGTTTTGTTTATCATTTCATTGGCAAATGCTGAATTAATATTGAGTAAATTAAATTGAATATAGAAATTAAATGAATTGAAATAAAATTCAATTTTAGTTCAGGAAGTAAATGAAATTCAAATTTAAAGCAATAAATAATTCGAAAGTAATTCAAATTGCTTTTAATCCGTAACGATCCTAAAAAATTTACGTCATATTTCATGTAAAACTTCCGAATGAAACAATATAAATTAGATTGAAAATTTTATCTTGTAAAAATAATAATTAATTGAATCTTTTAAAAGAAAAAAATGAGTTAGACATCTTTTTTGAGGCGTACATTTGATATATATTTAACTATTCTCGATATCCGTTTGGACCATTCGATATGAAAAAGATGTAGTTTTTGAAACAAACTTTTACATGGTATAGACGATTTATGAATTTAGATAACACATGATCGCAAATGAATTTTTAAAGTTAGAATATTATCGAAATTCTCAAAATATTAGTTTCAAACACCATACTTTAACATGTCATAACTTTTGCTATAGTTGACCATTTCGCATGCCATTAATGAGTGAAAAACTAGGCGGTACTTCGAAATGATATTAAGAATGTAATATTTTGACTTCATTTGACATCTCGACGAGTGCATCAAAATAGATTGTAAAAAAAAGAGGGGAGGAGGGGGAGAGGGGCAAATTTTGTGGGTCATTTGACCCACATGACTCCATGTGACCATACATTTTACCAACTTTTATTAAAATATATTGAAATTTTGATTTTTAACCCAGTGGGTTAAACTTTTACTTAGATGTTTGACTGGACTCTTTAGTAGTAGTCCCCATCGATCCTCACCCAGTAGCAGTAAAAACTGAAAGCCCTAGGATACTGAATTCCCCACTGCAATCGATCCAAATTCCCACTTCATTTGGTCGAAACGGCAGGGAGATTAAGCAGAAAAAATGCATTCGGTTATGCTCAGAGCCAACGCTCTGGTAACGTTTTCCGTCGCCATTCTTGCGCTAATGTGCGCCATGGCCTCTCTCTCTGACTACTTAAATTCACCATCTCCCACCGCCCAAGTCCAAGTATATCTTTCTCTATTATTGGTTTACCTATTTTTTTTCTTAATTGGTTTGTTGTGTGAATTTTTATTATCTTGATATGTGTTTTATTATATTCCAAAATTTGTTGATAATCTTTTGTCTAAATTTATGTAATTCTTTTGGGTTTTAGGTGTTGAATGTTTACAGGTTTCAGAAGAAGCGCAATGGTGATGATGAGGTAATTCTTCCTATCTTTACGTGCATTTCTTGAATTGGAAATTGTACTTTGGTAGACATTTCACCTGTAAGTCATTTTGGGATACCACACGAGTTTAATGAATACTCTACTTACGTGGACATTCCTTCTTTATTGTCACGAAGGGAAACAATGAAAGGTGATTCCTATGCTCAATCTCATATCTTTAATTTTTTAAGTTCTTGTATAGTTTGTTCATCTTCTTTCGGTAGCATTAGATTTGCAAGCATCTGTTCCTTGTGAAAAGTATTACCAATCAATCCTTGGCTAGAATCTTGTAATTCTTCACTGAGTTCTGAAAAAGTGCCTTTATAACTTCTAATTTGCATCTTGTATAACTACTTCTCATTTTTTTTCCTGTATTTCTGACATAATGAAAAACTAAAATTGTTGTGAGAATTGATCTTACGAATCCTTGAGAAAATAATATAAAAATGGAATTCACGAAAATTCTTGTTAAGCTCTGCAAAACAATTAACACTAAATTACTGAACCATGTAGAGATAATTGTTAAACTCTTGCCTAGTCAGTTTGGAGAAAATTGATTTGTTTCCCATCTTGTGGTTCATTTGCTATTCCAGATCTTGAATAACAAGAAGATGCAAATTTTGATGCTCTACTTAGTGATGAGATATCTGTCTCATCCATACTTTGACAAATGAAATAATAAAATGTTGTGGCGGTTGAAAGCTTTATACAGTCAAATTTTCAAGACCAATGAGCATTATGCAGATTGACCGCCAGAAATAAACAGCCTAATATTAGAGATCTGGCTTGAATCTAGTTGAGGGTGCTAGAAGGAGAACTGAGGAAGCACATTATATGTTGTTTTGTAAACTGTGCTTTATCAGAATTATGGCAGGACTTATTTCAAATGGGAGGAATCAAGGCTTATTACCAACCAATTCCCTTGTAGTTGCACCTCACCCAACCTTCCACAAGGAAAAAAAAAATATTAATAAAAGCACCAGATTCACCACCATAAACACACCTGAAGAAAAATGCAGCTTCCATAAAGAAAAGGAATGAGATATTTTTTCGAGTGGCATTATTGATTATCTCAACCTCACTAGTTTTATCTTTTAAGATGGAGATAGTCTAGTTTCATAGAGAAACTTCGTGACAATATTATTCCATTTGAAGGTAATGTAGAACAATGGTATTAGATCACAAAGAATTACAATAAGATGAAAGGCTTCTTTCTGTTGCGAGCACTTGCATCTTGATAAACACATTCTAGTTGTAGTTGTGTCTTTTCTACTGGTCTACGGGGGCTGCTGGATAAGTCTAATTATTTTAAAGGTTAATTTCTTCATTTTGATGTTACTTGAGAAACATTTATATGGTTAGTGAATCGACATAATTCTTTTACTGTATTAAATTTTTAATTAGCTTAAAAGAGTCATTTCTTTTGTAACCCATGACTTCAGACAAAGTTGAACCTTGGTAGTCTTCTCTTAATAAGAATTGAAGGAAAGAAGGATTTATAGTTATGAAAGACTGGCTTAAGCTGGGTACATGTTGGAAAGTGCATGATTCACTAGGTTTGTCTGGTGTTGATTTTTAAGATTTGATTTCTCTAAACTTTTTGGTTTCTATTTTAGAATGAGGACAGATCATCCTACCCCTAACTTAACGAATGTGTATTTTTCAAAAAATTAAACCCCTATCTCTGTGTGTGTGAGTGTTGTATTTGGATCTCAATAAAATAATCTAGAAAGTTTTCTCCCTTAAAATGTTCATGGTGTCAAAGCTAATTAGCTAGCCATTGATCTATGAAAAGACAACTATGGATCACCATGGTGGATTCACCCATAGAAGAACAGCAAACCATTTTTCCTTTTACACAAAATCCTCAAGTTGATACTTCCCCTTAACTTAGGAAACTAAATGGTACAACTTTGCGGATTGGACCAAAGCAGCAAAGATTTCACACTACAGCTCATGTGTTTGACCAGCACTAGAAGATCCAAATTGGAAGTGGGGGATAAGAACTTCTTGGCTAATAGGATAGTTGAAGACAAAGCTCATGTTTGTTTTGGATTAAGATCCGATTAAAATTTCAATTCAAAGTCATCATTAAATTTTAACCACATATTTCATGACTCACAACTTTTCAACCACACATTTCAATGATTTCTGTCAAAAATCTAATTTTAGTCTCCACCAAACACCCTCTATATTTGTATATGCCCACATCTAGACAATTATGAGATTCATTTGCTAACATCTATTGACAGAAGGGAATGCCAAATACTGAACAAAACAAAAGAACCTGTTGGTAACTACCTATTATTGTTCGTTGAGTGGCCTTTGGGAATAACTCAACATCTATGGGAGTTATTTACGGAAGGGGCGTTATTTCTAGCAAGCTTTAAACAGAGTTGTGAATGAAGAAAGTAGGAGGTATGTAATGCTTGAACGAGGACAAGCTGCTCATGGAAATTACAATTCAGTTGTTTGCTTTTTACAGTCTTAACTCATTCACATGGATAAGTTATGTATGATTATTACTAAAAATCTCGTCATACAAGAGAAAGTTGTTGAAAATTGCACGGGAAGCCAAATACTACAGGAAATATGGAAAGAAAGGTGATAGAGCTCCTGTGTGATATGTGTATTCCAGACGTGGGAAGAGGCAAGAGAAGTAAATGCAATCGAGTCTATGTGCCAGATAGCTGGGGATGTTCATGTACATGGCCAATGTTTTTATTATTTTTAATCATTGTTCTGTCGAACTTTTGTTAATTGAGAGAGGGGAGGGTAGTTTATGAGATGATGGTAATTTATAACTTCCAACGTTTAAAAGGGGATAAATAGGTGTGTCCACTATTCCATTATTTGAGAGTGGCAAGGAGAGATTCAACCTCTCGAAAGTTGGCATTGGTGTATTCTTTTATCTCTTTGGTTCCATTCAGTAACATTTCCTTTAATTGCTAGTTCAATATGAAAATCCTGTCCATAGAAATGCATGCAATTTCTGAGGGTTCTATTAAAAGGTTCAATGAAAAGGCGTATGGGCAAATCAAGCCAGCATGGGAGAAAATATACTCAACTCGAAACTAGGAAACCCAAGTTTAATTGGGAAAAGTTGGATGTATTTTGCGAGTTATTAGGAACAAAACAAGTGAAAGAACCCGCTTATATGCTAACACACATAACATTAGTCATATGTGCCTCCAACTCATTATGTCTAAATCAAAGTCAAGGATCATTGATTCTGGAGCTTTTTTGCGTATGTGCATATCTAAAATCCAGTTTTTTTTACTATTGCGGGCATCTGGAGATATGAGATATGGATGGTTAATGGGCATAAGATTCTAATTCAAGGAATTGGATCAGTGTCTCCCTTAGCTCAGATCTAAAACTCAATTATACGAGCCATGTCCCACAAATTTCCTGCAGATTCATGAGCTTGCTTACAAGATAGTGGTGGAGTGCAAAAATAAGCACAACTTGGACAACAATATCTCTAATGATTTACAGGAGTATACAACAATCAAATACTCACAATTTTTGCAAACTTCAAAGGCTCGTGCCTATAACTACTGAGAAAGAAATGGTTTTTATTGGCAATCACATGATATTTCACAGCTATTTGGGTGTATGTCTATTCTTAGAATCAAATTTGAGTGTCTATGTTGAAGTTCATGAATGTGATTTTCCATTTCCCATATGGATGTTATTCTTGGTTGAATTGATTGCTTGAACTTTTAGATTTAGGCTATGTTTGAGCCACATTTTTTCATTTAAAAAAAAAAAAAAAATTCTTATACAGTGATTCAATATCATTTCAATCACATATTCTTTAATAAAGTAACATTACACGCAAATCCAAAATTTTTCTTTATTTTTAACCACATATTTTCCATCAATTCATTATTCAAAAATGCATTTTTAGGAATATAATGTGGCTCAAACAAGGGCTTAGACTGATTTTGAGGTGTGAGTGACAAATTTTCTTTCAACATGGCAATGGTCGCAATGAATTGGAATGAAATTGAAAAATGCATTTTTAGGAATATAATGTGGCTCAAACAAGGGCTTAGACTGATTTTGAGGTGTGAGTGACAAATTTTCTTTCAACATGGCAATGGTCGCAATGAATTGGAATGAACTTCAAAATAAAAAATAAAAATAAAAGAAAGAGAGAAGAGAGAACCAATATGACTCACAAAATTGCCGGTGTCATGAAGTGATGAAACATTGTACATTTTACAGCCGGCTTTTCATTCTTATAATGAGAAATAAAAAGGAAATGTCACATCTTATCTAATGAGTATGTTTTATTATTATATGCAGGTCAGTTTGACATTTAATATATCAGCAAACTTACAATCTGTGTTTACATGGAATACAAAGCAGGTTTGTTATACATATGTTCATATTTGTAATCCACAATTGCTATCCAGACTGTTCGCTTTAGGTGAACCAACACTTGAGCTGTTATTGATTTGATTTTTATTCTTTGTAGCTTCTCTATTTCAATCTGATAAATATTATTTCAATAGTTGGCTGAGGATTTAAGATGTAATCATGCCATTACTTATTTATCTGATATAGATATTGAAGTTCACTTGCTGAAGGTGGAACATATAGATTTTTTTATTTTTATTTTTTTTACATCTGGTTAATTTATATAGACATGTAATTTATTTATTTTTTAATAAAGGTGCTCGGAAATTTCAGCTTTGAATATAAACATGTAAGGTTATAGGCTATGAACTTTGAATATGGTTACGACTCTGGAGTCTGGACCTTGAGTGCATCAGAATTTGTCACCATATATATACTTTTGACAACACCTACTGGAAAGATGTATGTTTGGCGTTACCTTTTTTTCCCTGTTTATGGTTTTTGAATCGGTTTTAAAGTTGATAAAAATATTTTGAGTGGGACAAAATAATCTATGAATTTTGTTTTAACGCTCAGTAAGTCATATTAAATTTTGTTCTTGGTAGTGTTAATCAACTAAAATATTTGAATATAGAAACACAGTAAGTGTCTGATAAATTTTGATCTTCACCTAGGAGATTCCTTGGAGACAGATATCTTGGGTGTTTTGGCTGCAAAGAACCAGACAATAAAACTAAATACTTCCACTGAATGGCTAACATTGTAGAGGATATAAGTTTTGTATCCCACTCGTAAGAATTTTGTCCAATGGAAGTGTTTTAGTAAGTCATAAAAAGAAAAAGGAGAAAGAGCTATTGTAGGCCATTAGTTTTCAACATATATGAGTCAAGTGTGATCGTTGACATGACAGTTGCAAAATTATGTCCTGTATTGCAATAAATAAATTCTTCTGCTCAGGGAACCCTGGAAAAAGATATACACGGTATCTTAAGGCTTGATATTGTTGATATATTGACATATTGTGTTATCTCGCCCAACATATTTTCTTGTATGCTTTCCACAATGTGATTTCGGGCATGTGCCCTGAGATCAGTATTTCATGGTATATGACAATACCTAGAAATATTTTAAACTATGATTCTGGATTGCACTGCCTACAGGGTTGACAAGAAGAGTGTATCTAGCCCCTGTTTGGTTCCCATTTCCTAAAATCATTTTTTTCAAACTCATTTTCAACCCCACATTTCACTAACTTTTATAAAATTTTCAATCACACATTTCACCAACTTTTATCAAAGTCTACCAGAAATCTAATTTTTATCCAAACCAAACAGGGTTTTAGTGTAATATTTTTCTTTACAGTATGTTGTCTCTGTTAACTCTCCTTCACTGCCCTCTTCTAATTTATACATCATATTCATGAAGGAAAAAGTCTCTCTACTGTAACATGAGTTAAATTAACTGTTTATTTGTCAAGCTCTAGCTCCTTAATCTTTTATATATATTCAGCCTTTCATGCTGCAGTTTGAACAAGTTTAATTGCAGTTACTGTTCATTTGGATATGAGAATATTTCATCTTCATTTGCAGGTTTTTGTATTTTTAGCAGCTGAATATGGAACTCCAAAGAACGCATTGAATCAGGTATATCGGTCCTGATTCCTCATAAAATTTGTACTTCGATAAGCGTTGCAATTGATTATGATTGCGCGCTTGTAGGGGTTGAAAAAACCCTGTTAGTCATAGCATTGTTTAACTTCAATCACCAATCTTTTTTTTCCAAGTTAGTCGCTACCAGTTTAGGCATTCATTCTACCTTTGCATGCTAATTTTTTGTTAATTTGATGGCAACGAATCTAGTTCTTACTGTGCT